TTTTTGTTGTTGTTGCTGCTGCTGTTGTGCGGGTGAATTTTGACAACGAATAGCGGCCAGTAATTGTTGTTGAGTAATTTTTTTTTGTGGTTTTATAAGCGCCTAATTAAATAATATTATTATTGGCACTTGGTTGCTCTATCTCTCACTCGCTCTCACATTGGTCTTGCTGCTGTTGTTGTTGTTGTTGGTGTGGGCGCAAGCAGCGCTACAAATTTGTTGGCTGCAGTTTTGTGTGTGTTGCGTGCCTTCATTCACTTGGCTGTCTGGCTGGACGTTCACGCACTTTTTCACACATTGCACGTGCTCTTTGCATTTAATTTCATTTATTTAACAATAATATTAACGCGAACGCGCGGCACCAATGCCTATCGATAGTTTTGCGGCCTCTAACTAGAGAAGTGAACGGAGCCAACTGGCTGTTGTTATTATTTTTTTTCGGTTTCGGTAGCTTGTCTGTTGGGTTCATGTTAATGTAAATGTAATGTTAAGCATGCTGTTACTTGCCGATATATCGATTGGTGGCTACAAATGCGATGGTTTAAGGGTGACCATGTGTACGGCAGACACACGTTTTGTTTGAAAAACGATTGTGTATGCCGTTGAGATTTAAGTTTTTAATATTATTTTGTTAAATATAACAACGACAATAAAAAGTAAAAGTCATAAGTATATCAGATACCTTAACATTTTAATTTATATAATTTATATTTAATATATCAATATTCCGATTATATTTCTTTTTAATAAGATCAGATGACGTCTGTGTTTAATTTCTTTATTTTTATACACTGTTAATATATAGAATAGGTAGTTTGCTTCTTGGCGAGCAGCCCATTGGATTATTTTAACGGTGCCCGTTTTTAACAGAGACACAACGCTGTTAGTTAACATAGTAACATAGAAGTGTTGACATTGGTATATTGGGTTTGAAAAACCAAGCCCATATTTACATATACTCAATTCTAATTACATCTTATACATATTTTATAATACTAAGTAAACTTCGACTCTCGCTTAAAAATGAGAGACAGTTAACGGATACGAAATTAAAATCACTGGAAATTGTCTTCTCGCTGTTATCTATTGTGAATGACTATACTGCACAGCTCTTGTCAGCTAGCTCCTAGGCAGTCGCTAACGCAACAAAGCTCGCTGCTATACAGAGCAAGATGCGGGCGCCATATGAATTTTAATTTAAAAGTGAATTCAAATTTGTAGCTGCTTTTTTGGTTGACTATAGTAAATTAAACAATTTGAAGAAATGTATGAAACTTAATGCTTTTTCAAATAATTTATAGTGGGGTCGTAGTTTTAAGAGTTGCGAGATTTGAGAGACAGTCATAGCCCTTGAAAATTTGTTCGTTGTAATTCCCAATTTGCATCTTCTCAAATTCCTCCAAACATCAATATTTTTTCTTTGTGCCACTTTTTGACACTCACAAAACAACAATCTATGCAAATTGTGCACAATTTGTACTTATTTTTATCATTTTTTGCGCACATTTTTGACCTTGACACAACTTTAAGAATTATGACACAAATATTACGGCAACAAAGAAAATATCCAATTTATTTTTTTTTTCTTTTTTGTTGGTGACGCGATCTGTTGACGCCTCCTCTTGAAATGTACCCACATTTATATTTGCAGTTGATGTTGTTGTTGCTGCTGTTGCTGCTGTTGTTGTCTGTTATTGTTTATATTGTTTATAATTCCGATTCCGCACGATTGTCAAGTGAAAGTTGCCACCGTTTGCACAGTGTGGTTGCTGCCACGCCCCAAATGTAAACGCCCACATAGTGGAGCGTGTGTGTGTTTTTTATTTCGAGCGTAGGTATGTGAGCAAGGTGTTAATTTCAGTTGGCAATTATATTGAAGTTGAGTCTTTAAGTATGCTAATACGTCAGAGAAAGAGACAAGATCTGAAAATTGATTTTGTGGCCCACAAACCGTTTTCTGTGTGATAACACCAAAAAAATTGCATAATCATTGTGCGATATATATCTATATATATATATAGATTTATATATGTGTGTGTGTGTGTGTGTATATAAAGATATATATGTGCAGCTGAGGTAATTAAAGTCCCATGAAAACAAAGCAAACATGAAACAAAAACTTAATGACTAATACAAATACTAAATAACAAAAATACGTTTGAGTGTCGAACTTGTTCTGCTCGTTGCGGAAATCAATTAAACAACGGCTCGGCCAAGCTAAAGAGCCAAGTTAAGCAGCCAGCCAGCCAGCCAGCCAGCCGAGCCAACAAGCCAGGTCTATAAAAAATCAAAGTCGATGTCAATGTCCTTTTGCAGGCAGACAACAACAACAATTTGCAACAACAGCAACAACAACAACAACTCTTGGCCACTCTCTTAGCCTGTTTGCTTTAAAGGGCCACCAACGAAACGAGTTCTTAGCCAACTGGCCAAAGTGGATATATACACATATATCTGTGGCCAGTTGTCTGCCATTGGATTGGCCAGCAATTTGGCCAGCAAAAATAGTGTCAAGTTCAGCAAAACAGCACAAAAAAAATCCGACTTATTTGCTTAGAAGGAATAAAAAAAAAGAGAAATAAAAAGTTGTCTTGCATTTTCAGTTTCATTTGCTATGCACTTTGGCCCCTGCCTACCCCTCCTTACCCCTGCCACCCGCACCCGACCCCCTGCAGCCTTCCGCTGATCGAACAATCGTTGACCCATTTAACTACATTCTTAAGCGCCGAACCCATTTGCATAATCTATTGTCTGCTGGCCTGCTTAATTCTAACGCATTTCTAATCGACCATTATTAAGAAGCACCACAAAATGGGTGAAAATGCATCTTAAATGCAGTCCCCAACTCCAGTCCCAGTGCCAGTCCCAGACTCCAACTCCAACTCCAACTCCGATCTCGATCTACAGTCGCCGCATCCAAAACTAATTGGCTCTAAAAATAGCCGCACTTCTGAGCTGGTTTTCTTTGGCAGCAACACACAAACTTGTTTCATGGGCCCAGGCAATCAAAGACGGCCCAAAGACCAAAGCCAAGCCCAAAGAAGACTTTCATGTAAGACACAAAATATGGTTGTGGATGCTGGGCCAGCATCTGCTGCCCCGATCCCAGCAATGAGAGTGAAAAATCCAAAGACACAGCCAGAGGCGGCGGGCGGAGGTGGGTGAATCTGATGGTTAGTTGGTGGTGGTTGGGTTGGCTGGAAAATACGATGAGATCGACGGATCGATAAAATAAAAAACATAAGAAACCAGTTGCATAGTGGCACAAAATGCAAGTTGTTCAACATAAAAACACCAACAATAACAACAACAACTAAGGAGGGACTAAGTTGAATCTTCTGTAAACTTTAACGACCATCGTTAATGTAAGCAAGAACAAAATGAAGATTCTTTTGTTATTGATGTGCCGAAGTTCAAATGCTCTCCAGCTCCAAAATATATGAGTCAATGCTACTTTAAATTCCAGTCGATATTTATTTATTTAATTAAGAACGGAATGCCAGCAAACTAAAACCAAAACCAACTAAATAAATTTTGTTAAGCATTCTTCAGATTTTGCTTAATGATATTTAACTTTAAAAGTTAAACATATACCTTTATCTATAAATAATTTTGATAACCTTAGATCATTTTTTTGGCAATTACTTTCAGCTACCAATTCTTGGAAACTTCGTTATTTTAAATACTTTGTTATTAAATCAGTCTACATTTATTTAAACTTTAATAACTATTGCTTCTATCTTAGTTATCATAAAAAACCAATACAGATATTTGTAGTGATTCTCTAAAATCTATTTCAGCTAATTTTTGATTCAAAACTCTAACTAGGATTTACTTTGTACTATCCCAAAGGACGCATCTGTATTGTTTATTATAATATGGTAATATCTATTTAGATGAATACTCTATGAAATTTAAGCTATCCAGATATCATAATTATAGTTTCCAAAGCCTTAGATGTCTGGAGTACAACAAGTTTATTTTATCCTTAATTTTAAACGCTTTGTAATCGACTAAATTTGGAGAACTCTTTCAAATTACTCATTAGAAGTTAATTTATTTATAAATGTACAGGTCAATATATTTTATGTGCTTCTTATTTACGCTGATATGGTTTGAAGTGGTTTGCTTTTATATATATGTTGCTATATATTTTCTGACTTAGCCTACATTAATTAAGAATTTAAATTTACTTTCCTTAATGCCCAAGACATTTCTAAAAAAAAACCATATCACATTAAGCCCGTCAATAGTATCAACTAAATGATCTCTAGGCTAATTTATAAAAACAATTCCAATGGCATATCAAATGCATGATCTCTAATTTCAATCCCAAAACACTCAAAAAATAAACTAAACCTTAATCGTTTAAATAATTAATTCTACTTCGGCGCAACTATCTTTTAGAAAAGCAAAGCAAAAAAAAAAAATAATTTAACCTTGATCAGTTCTATTTCGAGAAGTTGCTTGCTAGAATGCTTGTTGGCTCAAATTGTCGCTCGACAAGACACAAGTGGCACTCTCCAGCCGCCAGCCTCCACCCTCTTCCCTTGGGCCTGTTGCACGTGCCGCACCACTGAATTGTCCAATTAAACACAGCGATTTCTTTGGCCTCTTTGGCTCTTTGGCCACAGATTGTGCGTGTGTGCGTGTGTGTCTGTCTGTGTGTGTGTGTGTCTGTGTGTGTGTGTGTGTGTGTGTGTGTGTGTGCGTAGAATAAAACCCTTTTCGACTGCAAGCTTCACCTTTGCCTGCACCAGTTCAATGACATTTAGCACAAGAATTGGCCAAGAAGACGTCAACAGCAACAGCAACAGCAACAGCAGCAGCAGCCATGCAGTCGCTGCGTGCGTCGACGTCAACGTCAACGTCGCCGTCGACTTCGCTGATGAGGCATATAAAAAGCGACGAGGCTAAAGAAATTTCAAACAGTTGAAGCCGTGAGGCGCTAAGTTAAACTTGAATCTCGTCGCGTGTTGGGTTTTTGTTTGGGCTTAAACATGAAGTTGGTTATTTTACTGCTGATCTGCCTGGCACTGGGCTGTCAGGGAAATGTGCTGCGGACGCCCAAGGATGCAATCGATGTGCCCGTTGAGATTCAATTTGGTCCCGAATATCTGGCAGACATAGAGAAGCAGGCGCAGAAGCAGGCGGAGGCGCAGACGGAGCAGAAGCCAGCGAAGGTGACGGAGCAGAAGCCAGCGGAGGAGACGGAGCAGAAGGCGGAGAAGAAGACGGGGAAGGAAGCGAGCGAGGAGGCACTCATTGATCTCGAATATCTGGCAAAGGAGGAGGCGAAACAGAAGCTGAAGAAGGAGAAGGAGACCGAGCGGGAGCCGGCGAAGCAGAAGGAGGCAGAGAAGGTTGCTAAGGAGTTGACGAGAACCGGAGAGCAGGAGGAGACTGAGGTGACGACAGAGTCCAAGGCACAACAACTTATGGAGGATATCCGTATCTACGATGATAAGCCTGCAATCAAACCAGAAGATCTGAAACCAGATGCAACCGCAACCGAACCCAAAACAGAGCTGCCCAAAATCGCCGAGGAGCAACCAACTGAAGCACAAGCCGAGCCCCAATCGGAGCCACAGACACTTTTAAAATCGCTGGCCGATGAGCAGACTTCCGCCGAAGTAGCAGCTGCGCCGGCTGTTCCAGCTGAACCCGTTGCAGAGGAACAGGACGCGGTGCAGCCGAACTTGCGTCAGGCGACACAAGCAACACCCACCCAGCAATCATCGACGCAGCAGAACTTTGTGCAGCAACTGATCCAAAACTCGCCCATTGGTCAATTCCTCAATCAGTTCAATGGCAACCAACAGCAACAGGCACAGCCCACTGCTGATCAGGCTGCGACACCGGTGCCGACAGTGCCTGGTTTCCTCAATCCGAGCAATGCGATTACCTCCGTTCAGAATGCCGCACAATCTGTGGTGAATACCACAACTCAGGCCTTCCAGGGTATTCAGCAGTTCGCCAGCAACCTGGGCACTCAATTCCAGAACACCCTGTCCGGCCTGACGGGCCAGCAGCAACAGGCGACAACACCACGTCCACCGGGTCCCATACAATCCTTTGTGAACAATGTGTTCGGTGGTGGTAACAATAATGCCACAGCAGCTGCACAGCCACAGCAACAGGGACCGCTGCAGGGCATCATTAATTTCCTGGGCGGCGGCAATCGGCCACAGAATCCAGCTCCAGCTGCCGCTGAAGCAGCAGCACCAGCTCCAGTTGTTACCGACGCGCCTGCCAGGCAGCCAGGTGTGAATGATAAGATTGAGCAGGCCGAGGACTCCGTCGAGCAGGCGGCGGACACGGAGAACGAGGTGCGCAACAGCGGCGAGGCCGTCGATGATTCCTTTGAGGAGGCGGTGCCCGTCAACGAGATCATTGTGGTCAACGATGATGCTTCTGCCTCCGATGTGACTGCCGCCGAGCCTGGCCAGGCTGTGGTCAACAATTCAGTGGAGCAAGAGTCGCAGCCAGCGGCTGATCCAGCTGCTCTCTAAAAAACAAAACAAAACCCATCCATTTTTGCATCTCAAATTTTACTATTTAGAAGCGGAGGAGTTGTCGGACACTGACTGAAGCCATTTTGTCGCCATTTTTCGAATGCTAAAACACAAGAGACGAAGATAGAGAGATAAAGAGAACAAATACTTTCCCATAGTTGTTTAAGTGCATGCAAACAAATTATTTATTTCATTTTCGCAGGAATTTATATTTAATAAAAAAGAAAAACAAAACACGATAACATAATATATAAAAAATGCTGACTTTTTCTTAACTTTTTCTTTTATTTTTACCATATCTCATATATATATATATATCTACAAGAATGCCAAGAAGTCAATTATAACCTTTTGATTTTATGATGTACCCAACTCAAGCATACCATCCACTTTCCACTTCCAACTCAAATGACAAACAGAAAGAAAAACAATCTTTTCAAAAAATTATCTCATATTTATTTAATTAGTTTTTTTTTGGTTTTTTATTATTATTTAGTTGTTACACATTAAGGTGGTTCGATAGCTCAAAAATTGTTATATCTCAACCTAGGGGCAAAAATGTACACTCATATTTTTATAAGGCTAAGGGGGAAAAATGAAACTCGGCAAAAAACTCTTAAAAACTATGCACTTCGATAGGTATTGCAGCTGTTGTTGTTCTTGTTCTTCTTCTTGTTTGGAGGAAAAATCTTATGCCCAAATATTTGTTTATTGTTTTTGTTTTTATTTTTATTTTTTTTGTTGAAATTCCATTTCATTTTACATAGTTTTCGCTAATAATCGTAAATGTTACACTTAAGCTGCCTTTATAAAGTACTTTGAGCTCGAAAATTGATTTGAAATAAGTCTACTTAAACTTACATTGCGTAGCTTAATGAGGTGACTGTGGAGGGGAGGTGTGTGTTTGGGAGAGGGGTGGGACGGGCAGTGTTCTATTGCTTTCTTAAGGGATTTCCTTTGACTTACTCAAGTTTGCGACGAAGCGAAAATTTGGAAAATGTTTTTGAGCAGCGATTTAGGGGTAGCAAAGAGGTTAGTTTTGGATAGTTTTGAGTGAGTGATGTGCTTTGAGTATTTATGATTTGATGTGAGTTCTGAATATGTTAGTTTTGATTGTGTTGTTTGGTTTGAGTGTCTTTCGAAGAACATTTTTAAGTCTTTTTGTTTTTCTTTTCTTTGTTACTCTTCTTTTCTTCTTCATTTCTTTTTTTTTCTTTTTTCTTTTTGATTCACAAACTTAGCTGCATAGGTTTATAGTTAATAAGTTATTATAATGATAGGTGCACAGCTGATCAAGAACACATTTTATTTATTTCTTGGCTGATCTTAAGCATACATAGCTCTGATCAGGCTGATTTGTTGAGTATAGAGTAATAGATTTCGGTTTATATGAGAAATTTGTATCTAATTAAACGTTTAGAATTAGGCCAAACATAACAGTATTAAAGCGTTTCCATTTAGCATTTCGCTCAGTGTATACATGGTAAATGAATATATATATATATATATATGTAGATGTATGTATATATATCGAGATATATAGGTTTGTAAGTATGCATGTTATGTTTTTGTATGTTATGCTTGTAAATAGACGAGTAAATAGGCATTTTAATTTTGATTTTGATTTTGATACTGGGAGGGATTACGCATGTATATATCTATATATATATATACATATATATAGAAAACGATCCGGTAGAGAATTTGAAGCCATTTATTTGTATGTCGGTCGTGTATAATTAATGTGTGCTCGTGTCTGTATGTTTGTATATGAATATGTGTGTGTGAATATGTCGGTTCAGATACGTTTATATATATATAGCAATGCATACGCTAATTTAGCTGAAGATTACATTGTCTCTATATGATATATATATATAAATATGTGTGTGTGTGTGTGTGTATATATCGTGTGTATCGAGTATATAGTCTGTGGTATGAAGGTCATCTAATGGGCAGGAATGAGTACAGTTGCTGCAAAATTGTTACTAAGAAGGTACAGTACATCGTGTATATAGGTTAGTTATAGAGCGGGCTGCTTAATCGTATAGAAGCTAACATTTAGGCAGGTTCCTGGCGGCTTTTGTTTTTGTTTTTTTTTTGTTTTTTTTTTTTTTTTGAGTTTTCAACCGTGCGGAATTTCTTTCAACTTAATATAAAAACTCTAGAATAGGTTTTTTTTCTCGTGTATGTTTTGTTTTGCTTGGATTTTCATATGTTTTGGTCGCATTTTATAAAAATAAAAATTCGTTTCATTTTTTGTTTTGTTTTTGGTTGGTATTTTTTGTTTCTCGCTAATAACAAATATTGCACAATTGGAATCTAGAAAATATAATGCGCTTATCAAATACATATCAATCGATTTTTGTTATAGCATAATATCGTTATATAGCCTAGGCAGATATATATGTATATATATATATATATATATATTAAGTGGATTGATTAACATGCAGACACCAAAAGGTAATGCGAAATTTGGAATATCATATGGAATAATCATATGCATTGAAATATATACATATATACATATATATATGTATGTGTATATATATGTTTGGACTAGCAATGGGATTTTGTGGCATTGAGAAGAGCTGGGAGAAAGCATAGGGAAGAGGAAGACATAGAAAGCTGTGAAATCATTTGATAAAGTTGGGAATGTGATCTCTATATAGCTTTATACAGTTTATACAGATGCAGGAAGACTCGAGAAGTGTTTTTATTTTATTTATGAATTTCAAGAATTTTCAAGTATTTTCTTTACGCCATGTTTCCCATTATGTAGCTGCATTGTTAGAAGCATCTTCGCTAGCTTAGAATGTAGTTATTTAGTATTATATTTATATATATATATATATATATATATGTATGTATATGTTTATCGTACATTAACTAGTTTATTTTTACTCCTTATAAGCATTGCCGTTCCCTTACTAAACTTTTGCGCTAGACTAGAATACAATTTTGGTTTTAGACTCATGTGTTTTCTTTTCGGGGGATTCGCTTATAAATTCGTTTCAGTTCTGTGCGGTGCCAGGGCGCTGGGCGCGGCTGCCACAGCGCCACCCGGCGTTGCCATGCGCACCCTCTCCCCCACCCCTGGTCCGAGGACACGCGTGTGCCGCAGTACTGTGCCGCCCGAGGCGGACTCGGATGCTCGCATGGACCATTCGTTCTGCTTGAGCAGAAACTGCTTCACATTGTACTCCATCTGGGCGATGTCCACATGCTGGGTGGTTGTGTGCAGCTCCGCCTGCACGGATCGCGTCTTGTCCGTATCATTGGGATAGTATTTATAGTTGAGTATATCACACGTGGGCTGTTCGGGGCACTGCAGCGCCGGTGATCCCGATGAGGTGGAGCATCGCTGCGATTCCGAGCCGGGAGCAATCATTGTCGTCGTCGTCGTGGTGGTGGTGGTGTAGGCCACTGGCAAACCGGAGCGTGTGGTGCGTCTATAATAGGTGGTGCAGAGCTCTGCTTTTTTGGTCACCACATTCGCTGCTGCCACAGCAGCGGCACCCTTCTGGCTGGGCGTCGGCTCCGGCAGTGAGTTGCTCGTGATGTCCGTCTTGGGTGACAGTGAATCCTCCGTGGATTTGCCCGCATCCGCATAGCCATTGGTCAGCTGTTGGGGCGTTGTCTTGTAGCCCGAATCCATGCTTAGTTTCTCAATGGATATGGAGTCCATGCGATCGAGTGTGGAGTACGACGATTGACGCTCCGTGCCCGAATTGGAATCCGTGGGCAGTGCAGGTGGCTGCAGCGCCCGCTGCTCCAACTGCTGTGTATTGTGCTGCACCCACTCCGCAACTCGATTTAGTTGCTGTCGGCGGAGCATTACGCTCTCCTGGTAATCAATCGCATCGCTCAGCGAACTCGAGTTGGCCGAGTGTTTGGGGGAGACGGCAACGGTGGCTGCTGCAGTTGGTCCCGCTGCAGCAACCACTCCCACTGGTCCGGCCTCAGCTTCCACTGCTGCCGCTGTCTTGTTGCCGTCATCCATTTGGACGCTCTTTTCAGTCTCTTTTGCCTCCACTTGTGGCTCCAGCACGGGCTGCAGTGCCACATTCTCCAGCGGCGTTGCAGGGCCTTGCCAGGCCTCAACGGCAGCCGCCGCATTGCTCTCCTTGGATGTGATGATGTCCTTGCCATCGTTTAGCTCCTCGTCCAGCAGTCGCTCCCTTCGCTTATAGATCACCGGCACATGTGTCTCTATGGACTCCAGATTGTCCAGCAGTATGTTGCTTTGGCCATTCTGCTGGATGCGCATCGCACAGAGGCGTGGACCACGATTCTTGGGATTCTCCGCCTGCCAAAAGGGAGATTTGAGAGATTTGTTATTACAAGTCTGGAGAGGATTCTAGTTTCTAGTTTTAAACATAGTTTCTTAAAGTTCCATTTACCAAGTGAGCACTGTACAATCTTTTACCCACCTTAATGGTCTTGATGAGATTTCGATTGAAGGTCTCAAACATTTTGGCGCCCTCGCAGCTGCTCGTCTTGTTGCTCCACAGACTCTGGACGCTGCCCGAGTTGGTTGACTTGAGCTGAGAACCAGTTGTTGGTGCCACAGTGGCAGTGGCGGCAACTGCCGCAGTTGTTATCTTCGCTGGCTGCGGTTCACAGACATCCTCCGGCTTGGCGATCTGCATGCTCGGCTGCTGCTCCGTTTCCAGCAGATTGGCCTGTGATATGCCCGCTAGCAGTGGCTTACTGATCTCGTCCTCCAGCTCCAGATCGGGTGCAACTGTTGTTGCCTCAAATTTGTTGAGCAGCTGCAGCGCTGTGCCGCCTCCATCCACAAAGCGACGATGCTGCGAAGCAGCTCCATGCCGCAGCTGACCCAGATTGCTTGTCTCCAGCAGATACTTCTCCGCACCATAGGCACCCAGATGTGTGGTCGGATACATCAGGGTGGAGGCCTGCCCCGTAGTTCTCTCGCACAGCCTGTGATGACCCAGTATGGGATTAACCATGAGATCATCCTTCTTGGGCGGCGTAAACAGTTTATCCATGTCGTTCAGATCGGAGACGGAGCTCTTTGTCTCCGAGATGACAGAATCGCTCGACTTGACCAGCTTCATCATATAAGGACTATTCGTGCGTGACGGGGAGTTCAGATTGCTATTACATCGCAGACAGAGCTGCGTTAGTGGCTCGTTTGGCAGAGTTGAGCCGGCTCCGAGGGCATGTGGTGTTTGTGTCGCCACCGAATAGGAACGCGATACATCCGCCAAGACAGTCAGATCCTGTTTGGTGCACTGGCACGTATCGCAATGCTTTACATCGTTCACTTTGAGTTCATCCTCCAGAAACTTGGCCATTACTGTTGGAGATATCATATCAGGATCAGCGTTTGTCTTCGTTTGTTGGCCATTGAGCGACTGGCTGGAGTTGAATTTGTTGTTGCCGTTGTTATGGTTGTGGTTGTTGTTGTTGTTGTGGTTCTTATTATTGTTGACCGCATCCTTGGTGCTGTTATTGCTGCTGCTGCTTGTGTTGTTGTTATTGTTGTTGCTATTATTATTATTATTATTGTTGTTGTTGTTGTTGTTGTTGTTCGCTGGTGCTGTTTGTTGCTGTTGTGCATTGCTGGAATTGCCATTAGCGGCGTCTGTTTATTGCCAAGTAAAGATAAAAGAACCTTAGTCAATAGCTTGAAATGAGAATTTTATTTTAATGTTTTTCTTTTTATGTGTGCGAAGTGTTGTTTAAGTTTCTTATATATATATTTTATAGGAATTCTTTTAAATTGTTTTTTTTCCCCCCATAGCAACTGCTCATAAAATTTCAATTATGATTTAAATTTTTAGTTTATTAATAACGTTTAACGTTTTAATTCCATTGTCTTTTTAGTGCTCGCATTCAGTTTTGTTTGCAACATTGTTTCAATGATTATTAAATCAAATTCGGATATATTTATGGGTGACTGCAAGAACTTTGTTGATTAAACAAATTGATTGCATTTCAAAGTTCAATTATTCATCAATTATTTGAGAATACCAAGCGTTCATTTATTGCACTAATTCCTAACCAAATATTGCCTATAACTTCAGCAATCAGAAAATATAAATGCAAATAAATATTTTAAAACACAGTCAGACAAAGCAAGCAAACAAACAAACAAAAAAAATACATCAAATCAAATTATTTACAGTAAATTTGAGCTGTAACTTAAACTACGACAAATAAAATGAAAATGAAAGCAATTAAAGCGAACAAATTTGCATAAAAATCTCATAAAATATTCATAAAAATGAAGAATAATAAATGCCAAAAATGCTGCTGGGAAATATATGAATATATGTGATCTGAATGATGAGTGAATTAAATGAAATATCTAAAAGAAAAATGTATATTTATATTGTCCATTTTCCACAGGAAACACGTTATGGACTATGAAATAAATATATAGAGAAATAAAATTCAATTGCTAAGCAAAGAAAATATGAAGTAAGCAAATTAAATAAACGAATCAAAAGCAAAATAATAAAATCAACATGGTCTACTGACACTTACCAAGTCCCCGCATCGAATACACCATGGCGGTTGGTGGAAAGGGGCAGGGCGCCGGCGGTGGCGAGTCCGAGACCGGAAGCACTTTATAGGAAGCCGTTGTGGCAATGCCAACACCACTATTGCTACACTCCGAATCCGAATGTGAATTGGTCTCCAAGCGCATATAAGCCGACACCTTGGACTGAATGTCAATTGGCAGCTAACACACATTAAGTGATGAAGATATATACAAATACAAATACACATACATATATAGTTGTTTATGTGTGTTCATAAATTTGGAAATGATGAATAGTTAAGGAGCGCTGACGCAACACTTACCGAGGACACCTTCTGTGGCACAAAGCTGTCCGGCTTGCACTGCAGCAATTGTATGGCAAGACTAATGTCGGCCTTGTAACGTTCCTACAAAAGACATAAACAGAGCAGGAGAGAGAGAGTGAGTGAGTGAGAGTGCGAGTGTGTGTAAGAGAGAGAGAGAGAGAGTCAGAGAGATAGACAACAATACTAAAAGATAAGAGCGTTACGGAAGTTGTGGTCTCATGTGTGTTAGTGTTTGTGAGCTCCCCTTTTGACACTTTTCGTATGCAAATGTCAAATATGTTTGCTGTCGCTTTTTAACATGCCCCCTCCCTTCATCCAGCACATTCTGAATCCCTATCTGCCCTCCGTACACAGACGTCCCTCTATAGTTCCCGTCCATTTGCTGTTGTAACCATTTCTCAGCTTCTTTACACATTGTTAAACAAACTTTTTGCTGTTGGTTTTCAGTGTTTCCATTTTTGGTGTCAGCGACAGCCTCAAAAGTTCCTTTCACTCCCATTTGGTTTTGTTTTCACACAGACACACACACTCGCATATGAACACAAGCTTAGATGGCTTTTAAATTGTACAAATGCGCTGCACTCGAACTTGTTAAACAACAGAAACTGCAACTAAACGTCAACAGTGCTCGACAATAAAATACCTGCAGTCTGCTCTAAGTCCAACTCAAAATAGCAAACTAACAAAATAGACTATGGAAAAACACTTTAGTTTCTTTTCCCTTGCACTGCTCAAGCTCAGATTTCACAATAATAAAAGCAGCGCTCTCAACACGAGTGACGAACCTGTCATCAAATGTCATCAAATCACAGGGTATTACTGCAACAGAATCAGTTCTACTGCATTGCTGACCCACATACATATGCACATGCAGTGAAACAAAAAGCGTGCAGGCATTTCCCACCACACTTTCTTGTATTTTTTTTTATTTTTTATTATTTTGTTGCTGCTTATTGCTTGTGTTCGGTTTCGCTTCGGTTTTCCCGTACATTTTCACGCCGCATCGCGGCGCAAAGCTGCCAAATGCTGCCGCTTGCATTTTATGCGCCTCTTCTTTTACTCCCCTTTTTTTCTGGCAGTTTTTTAACAGACAAAAAATGGGTATAAAAAGTGCATGCAATGGAAATGAAAAACACACTCCAAACGGCAAAGTGCCAGTTGCCGTAATAGGATTGCATTCCATATATATATATATATATCCATATATATATATATATATATATCCCTTCGGAGAGCATGGCAAAGTGGCCCAACAGCAGCGTGAGCATTAAATGCTTTTCAAATTAGCTGCGATAATTGAATGTATACTGATTGACAGCACATGAAAGAGTTTCAAATTAAATCGAAGAGTTTTAATAATTTAATGAAATTTAATCGATTTAATGTGAGAAAAGCTGTCTTGATATGTTACGCGTATAATTTTCAATAGTTGCAAGTCTTAAATTGTCGAAAAGGTCTTGACATATATTTAATCTATAAAAGAGATTAAATAAGTTGATGAATTAATTGAATTGATAAAATATTTGCGCTTCAACCTCATTTTAAACTGATAATTAATATTGTAATATTGCAAAAAGGAGTATAAAGCAACCCATACCAAAATCGGTTAAATGTTTAATTTAAATGCATTCACAGTTGCTTTTATTTGTTTGTTTATAGTTGTTGTTTGCCAGCGGCTTATAATTTAATGAGAATCTGCTTGAACGCATTCTTGCCATAATAAATTGCATCAAAAGCGCAAAAATGATGACCGCATTTTATCATACACATTTATTTGCAATTGACTGCACTGAAATTAAATGCAATTGAACGTGTCCTCTGTAAATATGCACGTGGCGAAATTTACTTTTTGCAGCCAGTTCTAGTGGCAGGTGGGAGAAACTACGGTTGTCGTGCCAGTGCCAATAGAGTGTTGCAATTTTTCCATAGAAATGTTTGGCAACAAATGCCGCGTCGTATTGATGGGCAAATCTTTGACCAAGCCAAAATATATCCGGATCTGCAGTGATGATATTTACAGCATTGCTGCAGAGAATGTGGCAGGCACAAGGACAGCCGCAATCAATTCAGGCTGAATAACGTGCAACGTACGCTCGGCACATGATGCACATAAATTGTTCAACTTTACACTCTTTAATGAACTCGACCGTTGGGGCTGCCACCCACTGGCAGGCAGGCTGGCAGGCAGGCTGGCTGGCAGGCAAGCACTCTGCCGAGCCTGCACTGCAAAGTGCAATTGCGCTAAATTTAAAACGTGCTGCGACTGGTTATCGATTCGAATCGGTTTTAATTAAGCCCAAGCGCTGGGCTATATATATATATATATATATATATATATGTGTGTATATAAATATTTGAATTGTGTGTGTGTTTGTGCTGTGTTTGCACAAGGCAAAGTAATAAGGATAATTGAATCATTAGCGAGTCTTGTATTCATTTAATTTGAATATCAAAATTCCCTGCAGCTGCAGCAGCTGTTAAAGACTATCAACCAAAATAGCCGTTTAAAATACTTGGCCTAATCAAACATCAATAGCCCAGTAATTGGAAAAGCCTGCAGGATTCTGTCTGTGTGTGTGTGTGTGCGTGTGTGTGTCGAAAATGCATCTGGCATGCAAATAAAGCTAAAGCACGATGTGTTCGATTATGTGGTAGGGAAAGAAAGTAGGGAAAGGGAATTCACATTCATAAGCCGCAAGTTTGATTGCCTTTTGCGAGCTGCTTGTTGCCCCAACACAATTTCTTTTCCCCTCTCCATCACTCTCTCTTTCTCTATGTGCTGCTTTCCCCTCTCTCTCTCTCTTTTTGCAGTCCAACACGACTGCTGTGCAATTTCACGCTTGTTTGCTGACCAAGGACCAACTGACCACAAGCAAAATAGGGAACCACACCAAGGTACATATGTTTTTGCCTCCATAGGAAATGAAAGGGTGCACACATGAGGGGAGTAGGGGAGTGGTGGGGGGGATAGGTTTGCGTTTTGTTTGTTGTGTGTTGTCGTAGTTCGAGTTTTACTAATAGAAACGTTGACATGCAAGTCGATGTTTATGCAGAGTGTAAATATTGTGATATTCTGGAATAGTTGAGTTTTAGTCACTGATTAACGCTCCGCCAATTGAAGGGGAAAATCAATAAGAACTCGGAAAAACACCTTGTTTTCTAGCAAAACAAAAAAAAACCAAAGGCACACAGAAGCCACGCCACAAGCAATTTCCATGCTGTGTGCGCTTTGAATTCTCAAGCGGTTTCTGCGCACTCCGAAATGAGCTGTTGCCCTTGATTGCTTTTCAAAAGCAGCTATTTGATTTGTTCCTGTCGAGTTCTTTAGATTGCCACAAATAGCACTTAATAATTGGTATTTTTCAGATGTTTAGAAATTGTATAATTTGTTTCGACAGCAAATTTCATAGAAACTTTGCTATTGAATTTTCTTTTCATTACTTTTGCTACAGAACTCATAGAATGAATGGTTTTTATTAAGATATTTAATAATACAACTCGGCATTTATTGCTGCTGTCAAGCTCTGTGTAATTCTGAAAAGCGCCACGCATAAACCCAGGTGAGAGTTAAACTGTAATTGGGGACACATTAAATTAACGTGACAGTGCTGAATTCATATAGATGTATATATATATATATATATATGGTAGTATTTTCCGCGACATGGCCCACATATTTCTATATACACTTAAATGGCATTGCATGTGAGCGGTTCTCACAGATTTGCCACCCTTTCAATCCAGTGTACATGGGCGTACATGACGTATGCATAATATAATGCGCTAATTAAGTTTTTTCTGATGTCCATTCGACGGCCTGTACTACAAAGTCCCTTTAAAAGCCACTCAACCGCAAAATCAAAACCACAAATGCCAACTAAATCATCAGAAGAAAATTAATTTTGCACAACGACAAAACAACATAATTGCATAGTAAATTAAGTTAAGCTACGGCAAGGGAATGCTGCCAGGTAGTTATGCGCATAGCAGCGGAAGGTGAATGAGAATGAGACTGAGACTGAGACTGAGACTGAGAGAGAGAGAGAGAGAGAAGGTAGAGGCTCGAGGATAGAGGGAATGTATTCTGAATCTAATTAGTAGCTCAAAAGCTTTGCAAACGCAGCAGTCAGGCAAAATGTAAAGTGAATCTGCATGTAATTTATGTGCCTTGGACATTTAGATGCTCTTGAAGGATATGCCATTAGCTGCATTACTGTTAAACTGCTGCATCTGATATGCTGATGTATGCGGCTAATCTACAAAAGGGATAGAGAGAGAGAGAGAGATAGATAGAAATATCATACTGATCGTCTTAATCCGATTGCCACACATCAAATTTGTTGCATTTTGCGGGTTAAGTTTTGCAAAACAAGAATAACAACAACAACTTTGAGGAGGAATGCCAACATGGCAAATACAGCAAAGCACCACTTTGATTTGCCCCAAAATTAGCATAAATGTAAACATTGGCCCAAGTCCATTTCAATGTGTGTGCGTGTGTGTGTGTTTGCCAAGTTAAGCATTTGGCACTGCATTAAATACATAAAATTGCGCATATATTTGTATGAGTAACACAAACTAACCCCAAACTTGACACAAACAACACGGCTGTGAAGGGTTTTGGATATGGGGATGTGTTATCCGATCTACACATATTTTCCAAAATTAGAAATGTTTCGACAGGCAGGACAAAAGTCATATTGACTGCAGAAGCCGAAATGCTCTGTAAGCTATCTCTCTCTCTCTCTCTCTCTCTGTCTACCGCTCTCTCTCTCAGTGTGTGTATTCATGCAGGACACGCAATAAATATATAGCGTTGATGGTTGGGGAGCAGGGAGTCGGTGTGTTGTCTAATGCCAAAAGCAAATAAAAATGGTCGACGGACAGATGCGGATGGGTTCCAGAAAGGGGGCTGGGGTCTAATAATGTGCGCTTGTGCGTAGAAAATTTAGAATTTACATTTTTATTTCCAGCATAGCAGCAACAAATATGCGACACATGGCAATTGAGGCTATAAGTCAGAGCAACAAGAAAACAAAAAACTAAAAAATAGAAAGCTTGCCAAAAACAAAAAAAAAAAG